ATAGAAATTGTTTGGTAGTTAGGTTCTTTCTCTAGCTCCTTTGATTCTGTCAGCCTTTTTAACTTAAAATTTCCAAATTTCTCATTTTAATTTTGATTTAAAATTAATTTTTAAATAAATTGTAGAGACAGAGGTAAATAGATGGTGGATTTTATTGAGTTTGATTCATATACCTAAGTCTTCTGATGATAATTCAGAACAAAGAAGCTCTTATTAATTCTCTGTATCAGCCATAAGGGATATTTGTGTCTGTTGCCAGGAAATTATTTCACCTCTCCTGAATTTATCTGTTATTAGGGATCCTAAATCTTTACTATTGCATTTTACTTAGTACACAGCTATTGTGAGATAAGCAAAAGATCCAGTTTAGATATAAGCTCATATTTAGTTATAAATAAATATCTTTTTGAAATTTGATGACTCCATTGCATTGAAGAAAGTAGTATAGATAAATAACTTTCGGAGATTGCATGGGTAAAGAGTATGGCTATTTCAAAATCACTTCATTCCCCTAGAATTCACTAAAAAGGTTATAAAGCATATTGGTCATGTCTGTTTCTACAACTTTTTGACAACATATCATCTTTTTGGTTAAAATGCATGTCATTTTTATCAACTAAAATTTGAAAAGTCAATTGGAATCATAGAAATGAAATTTTTAATTTGAAGAGGTCTTGGATAGACCTCTATCCAGGGATACATATGTTCTTGTTTTGAACACAGTGAAGCACTCGTGTGTCCTAGTGAGTCTCTTTTAATAGGAATGTGAATGACAGTATTTCAGTCCTGTGGAAGCAGCTGACAGCAAGTTAAAGCTGATGGACCTGGAAGTTAGAAGCAAATTTGGCCTTGGGCAAAAATGTGTAAATCTCTCAGGTTGCAGTAGAGAGTCTGGGCCTCTGTTTTACTGCCATGTCAGTAGTTTCTGTCACCAGTCTCTGAAGACCATTTTCGTCTAAAATGCGAGCCCCTGGAAGAGGGCAAGAAGCTCTTTAAGGTCTAATTGCAAATGTTGAGGCCCTCGCTTGAACAGAATGTGTTAAAATAAATTTATTTTATTGGCACCCATCAAATTGTACAACCACATGTCTATCTTTTGATAAAGATAATACTACCAAGAAAGTTATTTTCAAAGGGCATACAATGATTTTGATAACTTTTTTTTCAAGAATATAAATATTATCTGATACACGAAATTTCAGGCCTACCTTTTTACTATGCACTTATTTCCTGCTGTGAAATGGCAACAATTGAGTGTTTCTTTTATTCTTTTTCTTTTTTTCAAAAACATGTAATTTATGGTGAGGATTGACTGCAGTCTCTGGTTTTCGGTGAAGCCCTAGAACCCTTATCTGAAGTGTTATTTTTCTTTTCTTATTCTGTGAAATTAAGTATTGGGATTTATTAACTGTTCATTGGTCCTTGGAAAGTTAATCTTACCTATTTGGATAAAATTGTTGTTATATCTTCTCAATAAATTGTTTTTGGGTTTTTGTTTGCTGTTCAACTTTTAAAACTAACTTTCAAAGTCTCACCATAGAGAACATTGAGAGTTCTCTCAATGATTTCTCTGGATTTGAATTGCTTAAATAAAAGGGATCAATAATTAGAACTTTGAACTAAAATATTTCTTCTAATCTTTCATAAAACAGCTTAATGTTTTTCTTTTCTATCAAAAGCATCTCCTAAATAATCCATAGTGGGATTTAGATAATATTGTTTGATAGGAATTATTATTGAATACCACAATTAAAAGCCTTTCAATTACTTCTTCATTTTGAGGAACCAGAGCTGAGAATCCAAAGAATCATTAACACAATATTACAGAAATACCTTGAAACTCAATACTTATATTGGTATTACTTGATAATGCAGAAGAAATTGGAGTAGATTTCATGGAAGTAATCACAAAACATGAGATATTCATTAGACATAATTTAAATAGCATACTAAGTGACTTTGTACAGTGTGCTTTAGTGGAGAATTTGATTGCAAGTAAGATACTGAATCTTTTTTTTTTAAACAGCTGGAGAAAAACCTTTCTCATTATTGGTCAACCAAAAGTAGTCTCACATATAAGAATCCTACTAGAGGCATTCTTCATTTACCCAAGTAAAATTTTATTACTCAGAGTTATTTTTAAAAGTGTTTTAAAATGTAGCAAACTTTTCCTTTGCTGAATAAAGCATTTTCATATACATGGCAATGGAAACAGTTTAACTGCTTGAGAGAATCAATATAACATTTGCTTGGAAACTATTCATTTGTGAAATATTTATAACTGTCTTATTGATTAAAGCTCTGAAGAAAGTTTCAGCTTCAATATAATTTCATGTTTTTTAGGTATTTAAAAAATGTAGCTTTTTAAAAAACTTCTCTGTGAATTCAAGCATTTGACTAGATATTCCATTAAACTAGTCTTTGTGTTGCAATTTGGATCTTTCCTAAAATCTGTCAGCATATATGGTCAAGATACCATAGAATTCTTTCATAGTTTAGTTTGATTTTATTAATTTAAAACTAATTCTGCCTGGCCATTAGAGTAATTTTTTTTTACTACATGCTAGTGGACCAGTACAATCTCAATGATTTAAAATCTAAGAAGTATTTTTATGTTCATAAACAGTTTTAAATTAATAAAAGGAAGATCAGTTTATAACTTTAACACTGTAAAAGTAGTTGAGCATGAATTTTATTAAATTGTCATGGAATACATTAACCTTCAATATATAGTAGTTTTTTTTAGTTTTTCTTTTTTAAAATATTTTTAACGAGTAGAAGGACTATATATATTACATGGTTTATATTCTTTCTTTAAGTTTTAATAGAAAAAATATTGTATCTTGCTATTAGCATATATTTTAAACCTTTTATAAACCAAAAATACATTATGAAATCTTAGCGATCATACTATTCCTCTATCTTTAAGCATTTTGTCATTTAATCTTGGGAATTAATTTATTTCCAGCTGTGTCAAATAAAGACTAAAATAGTAAGTCAACAGAAAAATTTGGAAGTGCCTCGAAGGATGATGCGGTATATGAAATAAGTTATCATTACTGGTTTTCTTATTGTGTAGCCTATTAATACTGTATCATCTTTTAAGAAACAAATTTTTAATGTTCAGTAAAGAAATTTACCTTTACTTTGTCTGTCATACCACCAACCTAATGTTTGAAGACAAGATATTAATATAATTTATTTTAGTTTCTAAATGAAATATTTTCTTCTAAAATCCCATGAGTTGTAAAATTGATAAGGTGTTCATTGGAATTTTTTACTTTTTTTCCTGCCCCATCCTTGCTTTTACTCTCTTTAATGACACTTACCCTCCATAAACCAAATGTTTTGAATAGTTCTGTTCCCTTTACACAGAAGTAATTTAGCAGGTGTATGCCATACAAGTAGAGTCTACGAAGAAAATGAAGAGAATGTTGAGCATCTTTAAATAGACAAGTACATGAACTCTAGTAAAGTTCTTGTTGAAGTCAGGGAGAAGCCGTGGGTCCACTGAGAGGCCAGTGAATCACATTAGTTTATAAATATCCTAGATATAAATATATTCCTTGCAAATGTAAAGTTGCATGGTTCTTTTATTTTTTTATTTGATGTTAACTTTGACATGTTGTGTTTTGTGTAATATGATTGCTACTGAAGCAACATTGAGCACATTACATCATTGTAGTACAATATTGTCTGAATTCATTATACGGTGCAATAGGTCTCTATGGCTTCTTTACTACTGGTTACAAGTTTGTACCCTTAAACACCATCAGTCATGTCTCCTCATCCCTTATCCCCTTGTAACCTCATTTTATTCTCAGTTATTTTTTTTACAGGTTGACTTTTTTAGATTCTGCAAGTCATACTGTATAGTACTTACGTGTCTCTCACTTGCCTCACTTAGCATAATATGCTCAGGCGTTATCTGCGTTTCCCATTTCCCGTAGCTGAATAATAATCCCATTACATATTACATCTTTTTTATCTCTTTACCCGTGGATGGTCATTTGGGTTGTTTCTGTATCCTGACTGTTGTCAGTAATGCTGCAGTTAATACGGGTGTGCATTTTAGATTGGGTATAGAAGAAGCCAAGTCCTTAACTGTGTTAACATTTGGATATTTTTAACTGAATATACTCAAGTAGTGTTAAAAACATCTGGTGACATTATGAAGTAACATGTTTATAAAATCAAGCAAGTGAACTGTATGTTGATGATTGAAGATAATGTGGTTGTCTTTTTACTGAAAGAAAATGAGCCAGGCTAATCCTAACTTAAAAGTAAACGATTTTAATATTAAGTATATTTAATAGGCAGTAGTAATATTTTGCATTCTTAATACCCTAATATCTGTAGGTCCCAATGCACTGTATGTATCCAAGTATTATACCTCTTTTTTTTCTGAATTTCTCAATTAAAGTCTGTACTATCAAAAGGAAAAGGCAACACTTAGAAAATGTGTACGGATTGTTATGATTTCTTACACTCTCATTGTTTAAAAGATAGAAAGGGAAGTTATCTAAAGAAATTGGGCTCAGTTTCCTGAAGTTTTCGATTGTGTTGGGGCTTGGATTTTTCCTAGGGGTCTGAGTAAATTTAGGCCTAAACTTAGTCTCAGAGTTACTGCTTTCTTAGGCGCTGCGTTTTCTGCCGGATTGGTGGCAGGGGTTGCTGCTGAGTAGCACCTGGAGCAGTCAGTCTCTCCGGAGAGAGACTCCTGAGAGTTTAGTTTACAGACTTGCCTGTTAAAAAAACAGGTTTCTAGGGGAAGCTCTTTTTCACTCTGCTACATGTGTTGGTGCTGTTTATAGAATTTCTTTCAAAGAAATCAATGAAAAATAACCACCTTGACTTAGACAAAATTTTGTGGAAGCAATTATTCATCTTCCCTTCAACTCTATTCTGAATTGTTTCTTGCCACTTTTCCACAGGATGATGTGCTAGCTGTGTGTAGAGTCATAGTTATATGTGTATGCATTATAGTCACCATATTCTCTAAACTAAAAATGTAGTGCAAGTACCCTAAAACATTTTTTAAATTGCTTTTTATTTAAAGATTTTCAAAATCACAGATAATATTTTGATTTATAATGCTTATTGATACAGACTCACAAAAAAAGAAATGGCGTGGGTGGGGAAAAGAGTATTTTATATCAGAAACATCTTACAGAATGAGGGTTACTACCTGTCTCCTTGCGTCTGGCAGGAATGGACCTCACATTAAAATTTCTACATAGAGCACATAAGATTTAAAAATTGACACATTAAAAAACCTTTGATAGATCTGAATGTTTACATAAATAATGATTCTCTGCTGTTTTTAATGTCATGGTAAAAAGTGGGCTAAAGTTGTGATTATATATACATGTTTATGAATGTGACTAAGACTGTCAACACAGCAAAGACCTACAAAATAATCTTATACTTGTTAGCGATTTTTGTTTCTTTGAAAACAGAAATTCTAAAAATTACTTAATGGAATATCTGATGTTTGGAGGATGATATTAGAAGTGAGTCGGTTTTGGAGGCCTCAGCCCCACATCAGACTCATCAGATGGGTCCCTGCCATGGGCATCTCTTTCCCTGGACCTGCACCTCTGCCTTTGTTCCTTCCTAAGCTCAGGTAATGGAAGGAAGCTAAACCCAGCTCCCTTACAGAGCTGTATTGCTATAAAGTAGACTTAGTATTCGCATTACTTTGCAGAAGTGTGCTTATGAAAAGTCAAAAACTTGGTGGCCTTTGAAGACAGTTATGTAATATTAAAGTATTTAATTAATTTGATCATTTTTATAATATGATTTAATTTATAGCATTTCCAGCAGAGATTTCTTTTTTTAATATACTTTATTGATTATGCCAATACAGTTGTTCTATTCCTCTCCTTCATTCCCCTCCACCCTGCATACCCCCTCCTCCACCGTTCCCCCCCTGAGGTTTCTAATTTAATAGGAGTGGCAGTAATTATGAAAGAAGTGACAAATGCATTTATATATATTCTACATATATGTATACATAAAAATACAAGTACAATTTTTTGCTTATAGATATCATAGCACAATTCTAATTCTATACCTCCTTAACTTTTTTGTTTTTATTTTTTAGAACACTGATATTTGCATTTACTGAGGAACAGAAGATGAAAAAGAATCAGGATATTCACTGAGGATTAAATCTGCTTGATGCTGCACACCTGTGTGTTAAGGACTTCTGCTGCTTCTTGCTTAGAAGTTGATTATCTCTGTGGTCAAACAGCATTGGAGTTCGCCTCTTATCTTGTCATTGCCAGAAGAAATCCTGGTCAGAATGGAACAGTACATGACTTTTTAATTACTATGGAAGATGATAAACTGACACTCATTTATTAAAGTTATCTCTCTCTCACCCACAGAAAACCATTCTTTAAAGTGAATAGAAACCTAGCCCTTGTGAACACTTCTATGAACATGACTCATGGAGAAGAGCTTGGCTCTGATGTGCACCAGGATTCTATTGTTTTAACTTACCTAGAAGGATTACTAATGCATCAGGCAGCAGAAGGGTCAGGTACTGCCGTCGACAAAAAGTCTGCTGAGCGCAATGAAGAAGATCAGAACTTTAACATTGCTGGTAATGCATATCCTGCCTGTCACAGCAATGGTCCAGTTCTCAATACACATACATATCAGGGATCTAGCATGCTGCATCTCAAAAAAGCCCGACTGTTGCAGTCTTCTGAGGACTGGAATGCAGCAAAGCGGAAAAGGCTGTCTGATTCCATTGTAAATTTAAACGTAAAGAAGGAAGCTTTGCTAGCTGGCATGGTCGACAATGTACCTAAAGGCAAACAGGATAGCACATTACTAGCCTCTTTGCTTCAGTCATTCAGCTCTAGGCTGCAGACTGTTGCTCTGTCACAACAAATTAGGCAGAGCCTCAAGGAGCAGGGATATGCCCTCAGTCATGATTCTTTAAAAGTAGAGAAAGATTTAAGGTGCTATGGTGTTGCATCAAGTCACTTAAAAACTTTGTTGAAGAAAAGTAAAGCTAAAGATCAAAAGCCCGATACCAATCTCCCTGACGTAACTAAAAGCCTCATCAGAGACAGGTTTGTGGAGTCACCTCATCATGTTGGACAAAGTGGAGCAAAGGTCATGAGTGAACCCTTATCCTGTGCTGCAAGATTACAGGCTGTTGCAAGCATGGTGGAAAAAAGGGCTAGTCCTGCCACTTCACCCAAACCTAGTGTTGCTTGTAGTCAGTTAGCATTACTCCTTTCAAGCGAAGCCCATTTACAGCAGTATTCTCGGGAACATGCTTTAAAAACACAAAATGCAAATCAAGTGGCAAGTGAAAGACTTGCTGCTATGGCCAGGTTACAAGAAAATGGCCAGAAGGATGTCAGCAGTTTGCAGTTCTCAAAAGGAATGTCAGGCCATCTTAATGGTCAAGCAAGAACATCATCAAACAAACTAATGGCTAGCAAAAGTACATTTCAAAATCCAATGGGTACTGTTCCTTCTTCCCCCAAAAATGCAAGCTATAAGAACTCACAGGAAAGAAACAACATAAAACAAGCTGCTAGCAATAGCTTGCTTTTACATCTTCTTAAAAGCCAGACCATACCCAAGCCAGTGAATGGACACAGTCACAGTGAGAGAGGAAGCATATTTGAGGATAGTAGTACACCTACAACTATGGATGAATATTCGGATAACAACCCTAGTTTCACAGATGATAGCAGTGGCGATGAAAGTTCTTATTCCAACTGTGTTCCCATAGACTTGTCTTGCAAACACAGAATTGAAAAACCAGAACCTGACCAGCCTGTTTCTCTGGATAACTTAACTCAGTCCTTGCTGAACACTTGGGACCCAAAAGTCCCGGACATAGATATCAAAGAAGATCAAGATACCTCAAAGAATTCTAAGCTAAATTCACACCAGAAAGTAACACTTCTTCAATTGCTACTTGGCCATAAGAATGAAGAAAATGTAGAAAGAAACAGCAGCCCTCAGGAAGTACAGAGTGATGTGACAAAGTTCAGTAAACAGGCTTATGCGAGGACGTCTGTAATAGAAAGCCCCAGTACACATAGGACTACTCCAGTGAGCACTCCTCCATTACTTGCACCCACCAAAGCAGAGTCTCCCATCAATCTTTCCCAGCACTCTCTGGTCATCAAATGGAATTCCTCACCCTATGCCTGCAGCACTCAGTCCGAAAAGCCAACAAATACCGCATCTAACCACTTGATGGACCTCACAAAAAGCAAAGAATCACAAGAAGAGAAACCAGTCCAAAATGAAAGTGCACAAAACTCGGCGACTTTCAGTGCAAGTAAACTGTTACAGAATTTAGCGCAGTGCGGGATGCAGTCTTCCACGTCAGGGGAAGAGCAGAGACCTAGTAAACAGCTCAGCGTGAATACAGATAAACCCACTGCTATGATTGATAGATTCAGTAGCCCTCTGCTCTCAAATAAAACAAATGCAGTTGAAGAAAATAAAGCCTTCAGTTGTCAAGCAACAGGTTCTGAACCAAGACTTTCTGGTTCTGAAATAGAAAACCTTCTTGAAAGGCGCACTGTTCTTCAGTTGCTCCTGGGAAACCCCAACAAGGGGAAGGGTGAAAAAAAAGAGAAAACTCCTTTAAGAGATGAAAGTGCTCAGGAACATGCAGACAGAGCTTTAAGTGAACAAATATTGATGGTAAAGATAAAATCTGAGCCTTGCGATGACTTACATGTTCATAATACAAATGTGCACTTGAGCCATGATGCTAAGGGTGCCCCATTCTTAGGCATGGCTCCTCCCATGCAGAGAAGCACAGCTGCCTTACCAGCTTCCGAGGACTTTAAATCGGAGCCCATTTCACCTCAGGATTTTTCTTTCTCAAAGAATGGTCTGTTAAGTCGATTGCTGAGACAAAATCAAGAGAGTTACCCAGCAGATGATCTGGACAGTGGTCACAGGAACAGTGAGCTGACACTTTTAGAATCTAAGAATCTTTGCATGGTCCCCAAAAAAAGGAAGCTTTACACTGAGCCATTAGAAAACTCATTTAAAAAGATGAAAAATAACAGTGGCCCAGAGGTACTGTATGGGTCCTTGGTTAGCCAGCAAGAGCTGAAATTTAGCAGAAATGATCTAGAATTTAAATACCCTGCCAGTCATGGTTCAGCCAGTGAGAATGAACATAGGAGTTGGGCTAGAGAGAGCAAAAGCTTCAATGTTCTGAAACAGCTGCTTCTCTCCGAAAATTGTGTTAGAGATTTGTCCCAGCACCGGAGTAACTCTGTCATCGAGAATAAAAAGAAAGGACACAAAAACAATGTGACCAATAGCAAACCTGACTTGAACATTTCTCCTGTAAATGGACTGATGTACAGTTCTGCTCAGCCCAACTGTTGCGTGGATAACAGGACATTTCCATACCCAGGAGTAGTAAAAACTCCCATGAGTCCTCCTTTTCCTGAGCACTTGGGCTGTGCAGCGTCTAGACCGGAGTCCGGGCTTTTGAATGGGTGTTCCGTGCCCAGTGACAAGGGACCCATTAAGTGGGTTATTGCAGATGTGGATAAGAGTGAGTATGAAAAAGACTCTCCGAGACTAACCAAAACTAACCCAATACTGTATTACATGCTCCAGAAAGGAGGCAATTCTATTACCAGTCGAGAGACACAGGACAGAGACATTTGGAGGGAGCCTTCGTCTGTTGAAAGTGTCCCACAGGTTACAGTCAAAGAAGAGTTACTTCCTACTGCAGAAACTAAAGCTTCTTTCTTCAATTTAAGAAGCCCTTATAATAGCCATATGGGAAATAATGCCTCTTGCCCACACAGCACAAATGGAGAAGTTTATGGACTTCTGGGAAGTATGCTAACAATAAAAAAAGAATCAGAATAAAATTTACCTGATATCAGCTTTGGATTTTTAAAAACTAAGTAGTATGAACTTGAGATCTGTATAAATAAGAGCATGATTTGAGAAAAGCATGGTATAACAAACTTTTTTCATTTTGAAAAGTATTGGTTACTGGTGATGTTTAAATTTGCATACTGCTTTTTGCTTTATGTTAGATGTCATGAGGAAACAACTGAACTAGCAATTGGTTGTTTAACACTTCTGTATGCATCAGATGACAACTGTGAGTAGCCTATCAATGAAATTCTTTAAAATCACAGACAATAGACATAAATTAAAATGTAAATTTCCATCCATAGTGGATAAATTTATTTTGCTGCCTGTATGAGGGTACTTTATTTTGCTTTCAGAAGTCAGGCTACATAACATTTTCTTTTCAGCCCAAACTGTTAAATAACTCTTTAAAGGATAATTATTGAATAAAAAACCTAGTGCTGATTCACTTGTCATTATCAATTCAAAAGTAAATTAGAAAAAAATATGCTTACATTTTTCACTTTTGCTAAAAACAGACAAACAAAAATTTATTTTTAACTCTTGGAAAGGATTTTGTGGTTCCCAGTGTGTCTTCCCCACCCCGGTTCTTTGCAATATATATTTCTTTAAACCTTGTACTACTTGTACTACTTAGTAAAAATAACAATTGATTGAAGTTTGATAGATCCTTCAAAAAAGGGGGGCAGATTTTCATTTTTGTATTTTAACTACTTTATTAAATTAATATTCCTCCTTTTACAGAATTTGGAAAGTTAACATTTATCTTCAGGTGGTTTCCTGAATAGCTGAAAATTTAAGAAGTTGTTTTTAACAGAAGCAAAATGGCTTTTCTTTGGGCAGTTTCACCATCTCTGGTCCCTGTGAGTCTTATGGCCAGAGTTTCTTAAAGCTAGACTCAGGCCACCTGTATGAGAACCATCTGGAGTCTTTATTTTAAAATGCGCATTCCTAGGCAGCACCTCAGTGCTACAGAACAAGAATCTCTGCTAAGTGAACCTGCGAGTCTTCCATCTGCATCTGAACGCATTTAGGAAGAAACCCTCTAGGTGTTTCTTCTACACACTGAAGTTTGACAACCATTGCTTACAACTTTTCACAGAACACAGGACTATAAAAAAAGAAAAGAAAACCATTTGATGCCTGTATTTTCCCCAGTACAGTCACACATTAACTAAATATTTGCAATATTGTAGTTTGTATATTATCGTTATATCTTTGGAAATCGGGTTCAGAGCACTTTTTATGACAAAAAAAAATGGGTAGAGGGGAAACTTTCATATCTGGCTCAACAACTCAGGAAAATCTGTGATTTATGTGTTCTAACGAGTAACATCTACTTAATTAGCCTTAGGGAATGGAATAACAGGGCCACTTACCAAACTCAGGTGATTTTAGGATGGTTTAGAAACTTCTCCTGAATACATCCTTAACTTCTATTAAAATCATTATCCTAAGAACAGTGTTGACAAACATGGAAACATTTATTTCAAACCCAAGAAAGGCACTAAACTCAGATCAACTAAAAAGAAAAGTGCAAAGGGCACATATACATGACAGAACAGAATTCTACACAGTCACCGCACTGATGTGCTTTACAGTAGTGGTTAAGAGTAAGCATTGATGTTGTCTTGGAAGAATGTAATACATTATTGAGCCACGTGGGGTTTCGATCTTGAAACAAGTCCGTGTTTTTAAGTTCAGTTTCCACAATCCACAGTTCTTTCACCAGATGTTTTTGTTTTAATTGTGAACAGGTTAACAACTGACCTATCCAAAATTTTGTTATATAATCAACTCTTAATTAGAAGGAATCCTCTTTGAAGTTGTTCTACTTGAAGTTGTTTCTAAGATTTTTATATTAAAACTAGGTGGTATTTCCTAATGTGATCTAAAACCCTAAATGATTATTTTTTTCTCAAAATGATTTGTAAATAGTTACTGAACATATTATGAAATAATAGGAGTGAATATTACGCTACATCATGGGGAGAGGAAGTCATGCTTATTTTGAAATGAAAATCCCACCGGCCAGTGCGCTGTTCTGCTTCATCCCATACTGACGCCGTGGCAATCATTGTCTACACTGTTTCAATAAGCTTTTAAACAAGTCCTTTTTTTCTGCCATTGTGAAATCTGGAGCCTTGGAGGTACGCTAGGGGAAAAAATGGGCTTTTAAAAGAGCATGAAATTTAGGTCAGGGAAAAGAACATCAAGGGCCAGCATTGCTGTTATTTTGTGTGTGTGTTTCTTTGGTTGGTTAGTTGTTTCTGTTGTTAACAGTTAAAGGAATGAGGATATTTAATACATGAACACGACCACACAGAGTGCTGTTCTAATTTATTGGAGAATGTCCCCAATTTGAGTTGAGGATAATTTTAAAGAAGAGCAGTGGGAAAAGGCATATACCCATAAATTCACTTTGTTTATGCCTATGTAGGTACAGGGGTACACATATACACATTTTCAAGGACTATTTTAGATACCTAGACAATTTCCTGATGAAGTCATTTGTGAAAGGTACTACAGCTCTCATTGACATCAGTAAGGTAGCATTACCTGTTTATTCTCTGCTGCATCCTACAGAGGAGTAAACTGGTGAGAGTATATATTTTATATATATATATATAACATGTATATATATATTGACTTGTTACATGAAGATGTTAAAATCGGTTTTTAAAGGTGATGTAAATAGTGATTTCCTTAATGAGAAATACGTATTTTGTATTGTTCTAATGCAACTGAAAAGACTTTTAATCTCTTTGCTTTCTGTATATTCCATGTATAAGTGTAAATATAATCAGACAGGTTTAAAATTTGTGCATGTATGTATACAGTTGCAAGTCTGGACAAATGTATAGAATAAACCTTTTATTTAAGTTGTGATTACCTGCTGCATGAAAAGTGCATGGGGGACCCTGTGCATCTGTGCATTTGGCAAAATGTCTTCAGTCAAATCAGATGTTCATCCCAACATGGCAGTATTCCATTTCTGGACATGACTTCTGTGGTTTAAATTTGTGAAAGAATGTGCTTTGAATCCAAGGGTCTTAAAACTTTTTAAAATCAAGTCAACCACTTTTCAACATAAAGAGTTCACACAACTACTTTCATGAATTTTTTAATCCCATTGGAGCATTATACCAGGAGTGTTCCAGTGCTGGAATACAGGCTCATTACCATTCATGGTATGAATTCTGGGGTTTACACAACCAATTTTGATGCGCTCTCAGTATATAATTTGTCATTTTTATTAGAAACTTAATTTCTTCATGTGATGTCATGAAACTGTACATACTGCAGTGTGAATTTTTTGTTTTGTTTTTTAATCTTTTAGTGTTTACCTCCTGCAGTGAATTTGAATAAATGAGAAAAATGCATTATCTCTGGTTTGAAATGACTTATTTTGTGGGTTTTCTCTGAATTTGGATTTTTCATAAACATAAAAGTCTGTGGTTATGAAAATAGCAGTAAGTCTTCCAGGATTCTTTGCCTTTCCCAGAAAAATAGGGGAATAAAAGAGGAAGGTGGCCAGCGAGTTAGTGTAGCTAGAGATAGGGCAGTTGGTGCTCATAGCCAAAAAGACAACCAGCCTATAGTCTGTCCGACCTGGCCTTAATTCTGTTATTCATTATGTAACCAGAATGATCACTGTAGAGTTTTATTATGGGAGTTTGAACACTGTCCGAGGTAAATTTAATTTGATACATACTTGTTTTAAGATCTTATTAGAAGATTTTAATCCAAGTTTCAGTGGGTATTAAATTTATTTTAAATAAGAGAAAGTTTTCAGTCATTTCTCATTAAAGAGTGTTTGCACATGTAAAAATACTGTGTATCAAGAATGAGTACTTGAAAATAATGAGCAATATGCATACACAATAAATAACTGAGAACAATTCATTATTTAAAAAATTTTGTGAACCGACGGCCTGGGGGTTTTATTACAAATACATTATCAGTGATAATTTAGTGTATGAGAAAGGCATTTTCCCAAAGATGAGTTCCTATTTTCTGGAATGAAAATGGGCCTATTATTATCTAACAGTGAACATTTTGCAGTCTCCTAACAGGTTTATAAATAGTTTCTAAAAAATACCCAGTAATAGAAGTATGTCCAACTTTTCTACATTATTAAAATGTTGAAATGTTACACCTTGGTGTATGTGTAAACACCAGAATCAGTTCTACAACCATGTTTTATTTGTTGATTTGGTAAAAAAGCATGACAAATACATCAAGTAATATATTGTCCAAGAGGGATTTTTAAGAGAACCACCAGTTAGTGATCCCTGACTCTAAGGTTGTGCCAATGGCTTTAATATGAAGGGTCTTCAATATCAAATGAGAATAGATCACCCATGCTGTGCAAAGTCAATACAGGCTTACTAATGTGGAAATCTCAACAAAGAAATACTGCTGAAAGTTTTGTTCTACCACTGATACCACTAAGTTGTGACCTGTTTGGTTACAGAAAGTAGGTTTTAAATGTTATTAGCCATGCCGTTTTTAGTGTATTCCATAAAACTTAAGGAAGGATCTAACACTAGCTTCTTGTAAGGGTTGTTTGGTAGAGGCATCTGCATTGCTTAGCATTAATGTATTGCTTTTTTTTCTCTAAATGGTTGGTACAGTAGTATTTATAGTTTTAAAGATGCCATCTTCATAGGTAAGTTAAGTACCCCTGCTCTGAAGAAGGGGGGGGGTGGTGAATGAATGTTCTCTTCAGCTGGTAGAGAATAATCGAAACTATTCAAATCCCATTAAATCCCATTAGTTCTGAGGAAATGTTACTGCACTTACAATGCACTCTTTTTAAGGGCCTAGAAGTAAATATACAAGCCTTTTCAACAATAACCCAGAATTTTAAATAGTGTATTTCTGCAGTCAGAAGAAGGTACTTGAGCCATTCTTGTCTTTTTACAGCTTTTTGATTGACACAAAGACTTGGAGAAGCTTCTTTTTTTCCCAGCCTGCTTTGTCCTCGGTACCTGCTCTCCTCATTCCTCCACAGTCCTCCTCCACAGTCCTTTTGGACTGTCCATGTTCACATTCGCCTCTGGGATCACACCTGGAAAAGAACATGACCTAACATAGTAGGAGTGTTAATATGTGTTTTTTGAAACCTGTACCAACAGGACCACAGAGTAGAGCCACAGTGCAGGCATTTTCTAAGATTGTATTTCCCCTTAGCTAATTGACAGGAAATGACCATTTAAGGGTAGAGCAGTGAGACAATTTCTTATGATTGAGGCTAATCTTTTCATAAGCAAGTCTTGTAAGACTTTAGCACCCCATGGGGTGGGCCAGCTGGCCTTGCCACCCACCCTTTGTAGTATGTCCTTTGATGTCCAACCTTGTCACATCTTCAGCTGATTTTCCCACCATCAAATACCTTACTGCCAATTGTCACCCATCATCTCAGTTTTCCAGCCTCCCCTTCACTGTTTCCTGAACATGTCTACCATCTTGGTCTTGGAATCAGTGCCTTCAGTCACGTAACATTGTGTACCTAAGATACCTCCCTCCTTTGCTCTCTCTTCCATGTAGACATCTTGGTCTTTTAAAAATTAACAAAGATCACCTCCATAAAGTAACCCTCCCTGTGTGATTTTTCTAGGCAAAGTTGTTCAGCCCTCTGCAAACACATAATGCTTTATGTAGACCTCCCTCATTGTACTACTTAAGAGTGGTTAACCTACCTTGTATCTCTAACAGCATGTAGTATGTCTTCTTAACCTTACATTCAGTACCGAATCCAAATCCTGATACATAGAAGTTAATAAATGGATGCCCAGTCAGAGACAGAAGGAGATCTCTTGCCACACACACAAAAATGAAAGGCTGCCTTTTCCTTCCTGGTTTCCCAAGCCAACAAAGTGATTTATAAGATAGGAACACATCCATTTCCCTGAAACGATGCTTGCCCTAGTGTTCATGAACTGTGGGGCCAACCCAGATACTCTTCCTCTGTCTTCTCTAATCTGCATAAATGTTATTTGCCAGAAGTTCCTGACAAGAGTTGATTATTAAAAAGAGAATGGGAACTTTAAGGGGGTTGTCAATATAAGGCTAATTACCTGTTGTACAGTATCTTCCTACAAACAGCAGGAAGCATCTTAGAAGCTTTGCCTGTAGCAGGGGAGCTCTCACCGTTTCCCAACACAACTGTGCTGATAATCCTGAGAAAAATGCATGGCATCTCCCACCAATCGTGTTCATACTACATTCTTCCGAACCATAGGGAATCAATCCCAGGCAGAAAGTACTCTCTCCGTGAGTGTGGTACAACTAACTCCTTGATAAGAACCTCACCAGGGTAGAAGCAGGCATTATTAGCGTTAGGCTATTTCAGACCCTCAAGAAAATCTGCATCTTTTTGGTATGGAAATGCTAGAAACCAGTGCAACACATAAACTACTGGCATGAATATTCAGTGAGTAGAGGGCTTTGACGATGACAACTTAGCCATCAGAACAAATCAGGTTTAAAGAGTAAAAAAGTAATACATATGTTCCACTGAATAAAAGCCATCAGTAGGTCCTTAAAGGTGTGTTAAACTGATGTGAAAAACGCTCATCTCTCATATATGTGGAATTGAGGTAGTCCATGTAATATCCTTTTATTCTGATAAAAATAACGTAATAAACATTTTTAACTATTTTGTCTAGAAAAACCATACTTCCTGTTCCTGAGCCACAAGAGAAGAAATAAGGTCTTGGATGAAGTCATGCTTGTTATCGGTATGGAATCCAAATATAGAGCATATTCAGGAGGAGATTGGTTTGCAGTGAGAATGGAATAGTTCCCTTTCTCTCACCAAGTAGAACTGATAAACATGACTCTTGATTTCTGCCCAATATAAGACTGCGGGGAAGAAACAGATGGTAACCTTCGGCTTCAAGAGTGTCCATCTCAAATAAAGGGGAGATTTTCACAACTGTGTCTGTGTAACTAGACCTTCGAACCGGATGTATTTACAGGAAGGGTGGAGAAAGTTGAAGCACAGTGTCCCTAATTTTGCTAAGGAAGGGGGGGTCCTTCCTAATCTGTACTCTTCCTACAAATTCTTTCTAGTTTGAGCAAATTAAGCGGGCTACTAATCTTAACTATTTTAATATGGTATAATCAGACTCAAACTTGCATCAAAGAAAAGGAGCTTCTAGTGAGAGCAGACATTTAAAATCACATTTTTCCTAGCATCTCTTCATCTTTTCTCCTTTAACTATTTATTTTTAGAGAGAGAGAATGGGAGAAAAACACCAATATGCGAGAGAAACATAGGCCAGTTGCCTCTCATTCATGCCTCAACGGGACCAAACCTGCAACCTAGGCAGGTGCCTTGACCAGGAATCGAATGGGCAACCTTTCACTTTGTGGGATGATGCCCAGTCCACTGAGCGACTGGTCAGGGCTCTTCATCTTAGGTAAGATTGTAGACCTGTACAACTGGGGTGTGATGTATTAAGGGAGAGGTAACTACACTAAAGTTGTACTCCAGGACTCTCTTTGCTTCAAACTGTAACTGAAAGTATTGTGAGGAAGGTTTCCAGAAGCCAAGGGTCTCTGAGTTGCCAAAGCGCATTTCATAAGGTAACAGTGACCTTGATGCCACTAGATGAATGGGACCATATAATAGTGCTACCCCGATACTTGTCCTTACTTTATTCCAGAACTCGTGACAAGTGTCAAAACTAGCTAGCACCAAATGATGAAGCATTTTCTCTTGCAGGGTGGCATCATGACTCACACAAATTCTAGCACGTGTGACAAGTCCCAAAGAAGTGCCAAGTGCCGAAACATTTTTTTCTTGTCAAAATGTGATGAGTTCAGAGTTTGATGAGTTCTGAGACCAACCAGTACCGAGGTCTGACTGTATGGCATTTGGAGGCTACTTCTGAACATCACCAAGTGAAATTTTACTCAGGCAGAAACAGGCCAGAGCATCCTACTTACTGGAGTGCTTCCTCCTCCCCCCCACTCCTCTTTCTCTCTCCTGCCCTCCATGTAATTAATTTGAGGAGATATAATAGATATATTGTATAATTCACTCATTTGAAGTATATTACATGATTTTTAATTATTCACAAAGTTACTATAATCAATTTAGGAACATTTTTCTCACTCCAGAAAGAAATTCCATTTCTTCCCATTGTCTTAGATAATCACTAATTTAGTTTCTGTCTCTGTAGATTTATGTATTCTAGATGCTTCATATAAATGGAATCATAATGTATGATCTTTTGTGAACCGCTCCTTTCACTTTTAACTTAAAGTTTTCAAGGTTTATCCATATTTTGGCATGTATCAGTTCTTCATTCTGTTGAGATAAATTAGTAAGACAAGTGGAATAGAGAGATTGAGATAGATAGGTAAATGACCA